AGTTGCTTTAGGGGTTTGTTTTATATTTCGTTTGCTAAACAAAACGAGTTTCCGCGAGGGAGCCGAGTCTTTTTTTTTTGTTGAGCCGGCTGCCTCGACTTGGCAGTGGTGAAAACGGACACGCCGTGGAAGAGTGAGAAAAAAATCCACAGAATTTAAATGAGAAAACTTTGGCTCTCTCCTCTCTCTCCCGTCCCTCCCCCACACAGGCTCACCCAACCAGCGAGACTGGAATCCATTTGATAGCCACTGGAACACACCCACAACGCTGAGCCAGTTCACACACACACACGAGCGCACAGATAAAGGGGCTGGAAGGCTGGCAAAGGGGCTTTGCCAATTGCCTCCTTTAAATAACAAAGTGCCACAACGAATGGCTGGCTCGACCGTTCAAGGTGGACTTTGTCGACACGACTACACGTTGACACACATCGGCACCCGTGGCTCGTATAGGTCGTACACGTGCCCACGCACAATCACGCACCATCATTGCACAATATATGTACATGTCCTTTAATCTGACAGATCATTGGCACAGCGAGACATGTCGCTTTAAAGGAAGTTTTGAGAATTGAAATACAGGTTAGGTTATATTTATTGTATTTACTAAGGTTATATTTAAAAATGTGTCGTGTTGATATATCGGTTTGTAATGGCTTGCTTGCCTTGTTACGGCACTATAGAATTGGTCATTATTATTATTGTTGTATTACTCTGTCCGGTATACTTTTGAGTTGAATCGTGTGTGGTCTGGCATAATGTCCGACGTTTTTCTACACGCGCTGGATTGCTTCAGGAATTCAGTAACTGAGAAAGGTCCCAACACATGTAGAGAAACGTCAGACAGCGTGCCAAACAAATCACGTCGGGACGCGTCACAACAGAATCGCGAAAACCTCAGCAGTAATTATAGGAGTGGTATTAAATCATCTACTGTACTTCAATCAAGTAATTGGATCAAAGCCAAATGCAAAATAATGCATATGAAATTGGCCAAACATCCGAATATAACCATCCTGAATACAGATTGTATTAAATAAGGAATAATGATTAATCATCATCAGCCATGGTCCATCCACTGCTGGATGAAGGATTCCCCAAAATCGCCACCAATTAAAAAAAATTCAAAGATTTGAAGTCCCTTTGCTCAAACACGCATTATGTGGCATTCACGATCTTCGTTGGAGACCCTGAGTCAATTCCACATTGCTATGTCAGGGGGCAGGCCGTCCATCATCTAATGATGGTGGCGCACTGTGGAGACAAGCGTTGGTGGATCACACAGATCTTGGGAATTCTCTTTTCGTGTGCGTGGAGGTACCACACCGTGGCTTAGCAGGAGTATTCGATAGAGCAAGTGTGGACGAATCTCCAACTGTGTCCCAGTTGCATAGAACCGATTGATGCTCTCTCGCATGCGTGAGTTTTCTCCGGGTGCTCCAATTTCCTCCCACATGTATATGATACTCATTGTTTGAAAAGGGCTTAATATAAAAACACGCAATGCAGGACTCTCCTGAAAATGACTTATTGGACTCAGTATGGTTTCCTGGGTATATGAGTTATTATTATACTTTCCTTCACCTAAAAACCACGTTCTTCTGCGATTGAAATTCAATGTCAAGTAATTTGGTGTCACACTGCCACAGCGTGGCACAAAATGAGTATTGCATTTTCTGTTTATTTCTCAGAGCGATTGACAGCCCTTTGTCAATCCACTGCTGGATGAAGGCCCGCTCACTCTGTGTTGGCCTAGGGTGTTGTTAGACCATACTTCACTACGAACTACTGCTCAACGACTCCAGGTCAAATCTCCCAGTAAAAACGTGTATTTAATATCCAGCCATTCTCAATACGGTGCTTGATATGAGCGGTTCCAAGCCACCTTGTACAATGAGCGTCCTATGGAAAGCCACGTGCATTGATTTGTGTTTGCTTCATATTCGTTGCGGTGGCCCATCCCATAATTCCCATGGTGATGTCACGGCCCCATATGGAGTAATTGTCCAACCAAATAGAAAATTAAAATGTTATTGTGTTAATGGTATTTTTTGAAATGTCTGAAACAAACATCTAAATTAACTCAAGCCTGCCGTAAATCACGTGACAACGTGTGGCCACCCCCACTCTGAATCCTCTCCTCGTCCCCCACCACCCCGCCCCCTGTGAAAACAGACGCCGCTCCGTGCAGCTCACATCTCTTTGCGCCCTCCGCCTCTCTCCCTTTTTTCCTTCTCCCCTCTCATCGTCTTGGCTCACTCTTCCTCTTTCCTTCCTTCTTCTTGCTGCTCATCTTGAGCCGTGCCCTCCTCTTTGTCCGTCTTTGAGACGTTCCATCCCGGCATCCATTCCATTTCCCCTCTCTTTTTTTAGTTCCCCATAAATAATGTCCTTGATTCTACTCCCCTCCCCGTGGTGCACCACGGGTAAAAAAAAAACATCGTCGCTTATTACCTGTGAGACTTCCGTCCCAGCATCCATTCCATTTCCCCTTTCATGTTCTATTTCCATGAATAATATAATTGCCTATACAGTACTCCCCTCCTCATGGTGATACCACGGGTAAAAATATTACATAGTTTAATTCCTGTAAAAATAAATGTACAGGTTAAAATGCAGCCTTGCAATTTCTTGCTCACGAGACTGTTGGCAGAAGGGCCTCCACTCGAGAGCTCTAGAGAGCGCCCCTATAGAGGGTTCTTTGGCCTACTCTTCCATGCTGGTCAGACGTCTTTGGACGGAAGATGTTGGAGTACTCCACACTTTACCCCACCACACGCGATTTGCCCATTGAATGTGTTGCACCTGTGGACAGGTGGCGAGGATTTGAACACCAAACGTGTACATTGTTTTAACTACCACGCCGGGAGAGTCTGGCTTGCAAGTCGTCTAGTTTGCTCACCATTAACAACCACTGCTGCAACCCTCGATGCATCTAGAACAGGGGTGGGGGCACGTCCGGCCCGCGGGACGTGTAAGGCACAGCGAAATAATTTGGTCTCTGGCCCCGCCAAGGCAACCGCAGGCGGGACTCGAAATTCAATAAATCTAGGAGCAAACCTGGAAAAGCAGTTGCGAGTAGTAGCAACATCATCAATACCAGCTAACATCATCACACACCTCGCAAAAGAGAAGCAGTTGCAGCCATCACATTAGGGGTGAGTTAATTAAATGTTTGACCAAATATAACAGGCTAATTTTTAAGTTGACAATTTTGTATGGCCCGCGAATGATGTTATAAATATCCAAATGGCCCTTGGCAGAAAAAAAGGTTCCCCACCCATGATTCTAGAGTATACTCCCATCGTATAGGTGAATCCACTGCTGGATGAGGGTCTCCACGCGGGTCACGGGGATTGTTCGGTGACCATACTTCACCAAGCTGGGCAGTGCGGGTTCAGTGAAGGCAAGAAGCAGACACGTGGGGGCATAGACGTACAGCACAACAATGGAAGTTGCTCTACTGCCCTCTTCTGTCCAGCACGTGGAGGTTTTACTAATCACCGACAAATTTATACTTACGCGATCTAGGGGGCCGTCCATAAATGACGTCACGCACCTAGGAGGGGGGGGGGGTCAGACATTTGTGACGATGTGTGACGATGGGGGGGGGGGGGGTTGAGAAATGTGACGTCACATCAAAATGCGCAACTTTAAATAAATATAGACAACACGTTCTACTTAATTAAATAGACTTTTTAATAAATGTTTTTTCCTACAACATCAGAGTGCATCGCCACATGACATACGCACTACAATGACAATAGTTTAAAGCGATTTTTATATATATTTGGGGGGGGGGGGGGCAGAGCTTTGTGACGTCATATTTGAGGGGGGGGTCTGACTTTTTGTGACGCCGTGTGACGAAGGGGGAGGGGTCAAAAATAATCCAAAATCGCGTGACGTCATTTATGGACGGCCCCTAACCCAAAAACCTTTATTATAAATAATTACCTGCCGATTTGTAGAATAATAATTTAAATCGACTATTCGGACAACTGTAAACAGCACCTCCCGTCCAGCGGCATACGTGGGAACAGAAATGTCACATTGTCCCAACTGCTGAATGTGGGTGTTGTACGATAAGTAATCGAACCGATATAGCCTCCAGGCGTCTCAGCCCGCTTTGGATAGACAAACTCATCGACCACATTGGAAAGGGCACCACTAGCGGCAGATGTCCCTGTGGGCACGAGATGACTCAGCACCTCGTCTGCAAATATGCATTATCCATAATGCAGGATTTTTTGGGGGGATTTTGGGGGGGGTTAGATCGCGTAAAAATATAAATGTGTCGTTAAACCCGCCACCACCCGACACAGACAATGAGTAAGGTTTGTCATGTAAACAGAACAGGAAATATAAGTCTGCCAGTAGCGGGCGACGATGACTGTTATGTGTAATATCAATTGAGTCATTTGTTTGTAACGCATGAATAGTAACTTGGATAGTAATAGATTACATTACAGTACTTTAATAATAATCTGTTATCCCAGCTCTACGATTTAATCCACCTCCAACGGGCCCTACCTGAAATTCACACCAACCACGCCCCCTTTCACATGGCCCCGCCTTCTTGTAACTAAGCCCCGCCTACTATATTGATAGCCACGCCCTCACGGAACTACCTTACTGTACCAAAAAAATCAACACATTCGGCAATTAGCGTTGCCTTTAAAGGAAATGTGTGTGATAGGCGACGTTTCGGGAAATGTCCCTTCTTCAGAGCACACGCTAAAAATACGTGCTTGAGACGAAAAACATACGATTGAGACGAATGTGTCGAGTTTTTGTTGTTTGTTTGTTCTTGTGCACCACTTCCACGCCCGAAACGTCGGACCCCGCCTCTACTTCCGCTTCTTGCCACGCGGACCACTTATGGGGGGGGGGGCTCTGTAATAGTGGGCGGAGCCTCTCTTACAGTGGGAGGGACCTCTGCTACAGTGGGCGGGGGCCATCTGTTACAGCGGGAGGAGCTTACACAGAAGTGGGCGTGGCTCGCTAATAGCCACTCCCCCCCACCACCACGCTCCTCCTTCCCCTCCCCGTGTCGCTTCTCAGTGGGAGAAAGAAGGAGCGGTGGGGCTCAGCTTCTCTCGGCCCCTCGTGTCGTCCGCCAAACCTCGGGTCCTTCCCCTATGGCCACGGCACAGCGATGGGCGCGTGCTGGTCGTGGTGTGTGGCCGCGCTGAGGCCGGGCGGTGCGGCCGGGAGACCCAGGCTCTCTCGAGCAGGCGGAGGGTACGTGCGCTCATATGTCTCCATATGCCCGCCGAATGATGTTGGCTTTCTCTTCCGTATTTCCTCATTTATTCTCCTTCCAAGGGGACTGTCGCTCCGACGACGTTGTTCGTTGCGGTCGGTTGACGTTGTTGACGTCGCCGTGTTTGGCACATTATTATAAATTAGTGACGGTTTAATTGTTATAATTTGACACGTAAACCCAGGCTCCATTCCGTGCTGTGTGGGGTTGAGTCCCGTACGTGTTTTGCGAACCGCCCCGCTGTTTTAAAGCCGGTTATTTAGTCCTGTATCGTAACAACAATCACGGGTTGTGTTTGCTTTATGCGATTGCTTCAGCCAGTGTGCATTTGCATAACTAATACAATGTTTAATTAGTGCTGTGGATAATTGTGTTTAGAATAGTAGTTATGTCATATTCCACTGGGATTTTTTTTGCACACAGCGTTGGTGTACGGTGCTTTTTTCAGGAATATTTTGCTGGTTTTTTCATGGATTTTCAGTTTGCACAGTCACATAGTCACTTTAAGATGTTTTCTTGTTCGTGTTTTTGTTTGTTTGTTGTGGTTGCACCCGATTCAAGAGCCGAATGGCTCACAGGGCTATACCAAAATAAATAAACTGAAACTAGCAACAGCCTATTGTGAAATCTGTTTGGTGTGACCGGAAAGCCGGGTTGGAGTTCCCGAGTGCTACGGAATGGAGCGGTCGAGGCAGGTGTTTTGAATTAAATCATTAATGACTACTAGTGAATATATGGGAATTGTTTTATTTTGTATCGTATTCCTTATAAGTGTACATCTATTGCTGGACATCTGCCTTCCCACGTGGTACGAGCCATGGGAGATTATTTGGTAAAATCATGCATTTACAAGCCAGTGAATGAATGTTGTATGCGCAGATGAGACGTGCTTCATGATATCAGGGATTATGTATCCTGTACTCTTATCTCCACGTTATTTCAGAAGCCTATGTGACCTGTTATGCATGGTGGTCGACCATTCCAAACACTACCCAGCAAAACATGTCATGTAGGGCAGTGTTGGAATGTGGTTGGGCCAATATTGACCCAGCGTTCCATGTTTACTGGGTTATCCAGGCTCGCACATGCTTGGCTTTCGAGATCTGACGAGATGTACAACATGCAGGTGTGTATGCATAGGGTGCCTATTGTGTTTGCCTACTGTATTAGTATCAAATATTAACCGTCTATTGTCATACATTGGCCCAGCAATGTGTACAATCTGTCCAATATGTATTGTACATATTAGTCCTCATATCTGTGTATTTTAGGTACAGTACAATGTTTTACGTCTGTGTATGATGTAACAAGGTACACAGTGCTCTGAGTGGTATCATCATCATCAGCTCGGATCTACCAACTGCTGGACGGAGGCTTCCCCAAGGGGTCTCCACCTCTCACGGTCACGCGAGCTGATTTCATAATTCCATCTCCTCAGTTGACGTCCTCTGGGGTTTCATCACTCGGGTGTTAGTCCGAACCATCAGCCATCATCCCATTTGAGAACAACCTTGCCACTATTCCCACTTTCTTAGCAGTCCATGTCATGTCTCTTACTTGATCTCTAATCCCTCTTACCGTATTTCATTGTCATTTCAAGCACTCACACATTTCAGCGTTTGTTCAACGTTGGTTGGTCAATGTTATCGTTTTCACTGCATGCAGACAATACATTAGCACTCATTGCTGTACGTATGCACAGAATCAACACGACTGCCATTAGCACGTTGATGGATAAATAAATGAAGGAATTCTTAAAATAATTAATGAAACCTGTACGGTGACGTGAATATCATGGTCAGATGCCCTCATGTAAATGAGTAAACAAAATGAATTAATTGACTTTGGTGGCAAGATGTTAACTACCTCGCCTGATATACAGGAGGTCGTGGGTTCGATCCCGACCCTAACGCCTTTATATTTGGTGTTTGCGTGTTCTTCCAATGGTAGCGTGGGTTTTGCTCCAGGTTCTCCGGTTTTTCCCTCAGCATTTACAAACATGTGTTTCCGAGTATTTGGTTCCTGTAAATGCCCACATGATCAGCCACTTCGTTGAGCTATCATTTGTGGCCAGGTCACTTTTGATAAAGACCTACATAGCTCAGTGGGCCTTACCTGGGTAAATAAAATAAAAATTAATTACGTTAGATCACGGCTAAGAAGGATTGAGGCGGGTTAGTACTTCGATTGAAGACTGACTGTTGATGTTGGCTGTGAGGTGACCAGCACATGGCAGTAGAACAATTATTGAATCCATCTGTAGAGCTTTGATAGTTACCCCCTCGTATGCGTGAGGTTTTCCCCAGTTACTCCGATTTCCTCCCACATGCCAACCTCTCATTATTGGAATTGTCCAAAGCATTCCAGTGTAACAGGAATTCTTAAACGGTCTTGAGATTCAGTGAGGCCATCATCCTGAGCAAGAAGAGGGCATGATTAGTTCGATTTCGCTAATTATGAATGAGCTTTTACTTCAAACCAAAGACCTCCAGTGTATACCATCTGAACAGAACTCGGAATCTATGCAGGCTTGAGCCTAGATCGTTCTTGCATGGTCGACCATGGTGCTGGTTTGTTAAAGTGGCTGTGAGGCTTTGTAGTGGTCATCAGAATGGCAGTGCAGTAAAACACGATGTTGTACTGTACTCATTCCCTCACATCTATGCGTGAAGTATGGGTCAAATGATCCCCTCACTCAACGACCCCTCACGGCTCTCATTCAGCAGTGGGAAAATAGCATTTGCAAGTCGGTGAATGAATGAGGTATCGTTGGCATGGGCTTTGTGATGTCGCGGATATATGGACATTGGGCAGTATTGTATGTACAGGTTAACAGCGGGCTTCATTCATGCAGTCAGCTCTCTTTTAATATCTCCTGTGAGCAGGGCAGATAGACTGCACTACAAAGGCGCTCTGGTCTCTCTATGGGCTCACACCTGCTCATAAATCATTGATGCCCCACAGTGGCAGAGCACGTCTGTAAGCATAGCCACTGTACAACTGAGGAAGAGCCAGTCTCATTACCAACAAATATTGAATTCCATAAAAACCCAGCTGGTAGGCACAGCCCAAGCTCCCATTATACTGAATAATGTAACGCGATTTTACCGAAAGAACCAAAGAGTATGGATACCTGCAGTCACGAAAACTTCAAATCTAGACAAAAAAATACTCGAGTAGAAAATATTCAGATCAATGTCAGAACAGAGTTTGCATTCTCTCAAAACACCTTACTTAATAGGACTACTGTGTAGGTTGTTGTGGTTGTTCTGTACGGCTCTCTGGTGCCTTTTCAGGTTGTACTGCGTGTTGCCCGGCACTTTGGCTGATGCGCCACACCACGTGCTGGGAGATTATTGGGGAACTGAATCCAAATTTCAGGAACTGAATAACAATTCCGTGCTTGAAGAAGCTCCGAGCACGTGGAGTGAAACGTGGGACACGGTGCCGAGCAACACTTCGTGCAACCCGGAAGGAAACTCGTCGGAGAGCTTACACAGGGCTATCGTGAAACCCTACGCAGTCGCATGTGTGATGTGTTGATCCAACAATTTCAAAAAGTAGTTACCCAACACAGGCATTTTATGCCGTGTCATTGTTTATTGATTTGAAGTGACATATTTCAGTGATTATGAAGAGATTTAAGTAAATATATATTAAACGGTCACATGGTGCAGAATTTTCGGAACAGATTTAAGGAAGGATCGTTTTGATGGTAGTTTATGCCTTGGTGCTGTCAATTCACGTGGCTACTGAACTCGGCATCCTTTGTCTGCCTCCTCATGTTTACCAATTTGCTATATTCAAATAAAATACAACGTATGTGGTTACATGCCGACAAAACCTCATGAGTAATGAACATTTCACACGTGACAGAGAGGGATGATTCATTTTAAGAATGCTCCCTACATTATGGAGGCCACATTTACACACAGACACACATACGATATCTGTCTTCATTGTAACCAGCGCTCTCTACATTGAAAATGGGAATTGTTTAACAAGCATCAGGCGTGTGCGGCGAGTATTTTGAATGGAACAGATTAGCGAACATGGGAAATGATACCCAGCTATGTCACTTGACAGGAGTTTAGGAAACTCTACGGTCTAATTTTATTTATATTTTCTATGCATAATTATGCAGAGTACCACACAGGCCATATTCATGTGCAATTGGCAGTGACATCAATTATTTACCCTAATCATGCTGTGTGACCAAGGCTGCGTTCTGTGCGTTTTAGAAAGACCTGAATTCTAAGCTCCGGATCAGTAGCTGGCAGCAATGGCCGGTGTAAGTGTTTGTCCTCCGCGATGATGTTACAACTGCTTATGGCAGCACATTAACACGCATGTTTTGCCGCCAAATGTTGCGCTTCATGATTGTTTTTTTTTCTAGGGCTAGGGCACGCAAGTATAAAGCCAGATGGTGTCATATACACTCCTGGCTCGGCAGATGACCATATCACAATTTGATCTCTCCGGGTCAGGGGATGCCACCACTTGCTGAGTAGACTCTGTTGGGTCGCCGTCGCTTGATGATGCTGGTTGTAATTTCCAGCGAAACGTCGTGTATATAAATTGTCCAATTTTGCGTAGGTCATATATCAACAGATCTGTTGGCTGAAGGCAATATCAGTTGGCATGTTTTGTTCTTGTGACAACTTGATTTGTTTGGCTGTGGCAGGCGACGGAGGCTGTGTAATGATCACCTTTTGGCTCTGTCCTTACGCGATCCTCACCAAGAAAAAAACCAATAGTGAATTATTGCAGTACTGTTTATTTAGCATCGTTCATACTTGGTGCCCTTTTGGATTGCCAAATCAATTTTAGCCTCCATGCCTGCCTCTTAGTTGATCGCGCTCATTGTTGTATTGTGTTTTTGTTGGAGTGGCGGTTGCATTAGCGTCGCAATCGCCATCAGCCGCTAGCATTATCATAACACCGCCGTGTCATCGATTGTCATGGACATGACCGCGAT